ATTCATGTTTGCGACTGAGGAGATTCGATTGTGCGACGAGGAAAGGAAAGTATAGGTGTCGATCTGGCGAGTGGGAAGAATCGGCGATACAGCACTTTGAGCGAATCGACGTTTTGGGTGATTGCGCGCAAAGGAGTGGATGGGTATCGATTGGCGTCGATCCCTAGCGGTCGCAGAGATATGGTGGCCGGGCGCCCATCGCTAGCGATTTGGGAGATTCAGCGGTCCGGCGGCGCGGCTCGCTAATAAACGCGGCATTACTATATTCCACTTTATTTTGAACGTAATCTGCAGTTCTCTGAAGATTCACTGGTATCCTTGTTTGACTTCTAAGGCCATCTTTAAACAAAATCGTCTAGCGGTTATTTTTAGGTACAACTGGGAAATGCAGGATTTTACTCGGAAGACAAGAAATGCTATCATCGTGTGGATGACATTGCAGACATCGAGGTTCGCTGAGTTACCAGATAATGTTGTCGACAACTAGTAATTGTTGGTTCGTTAAGAACTTCGCTGAAGTGTTCTATCGCGCAGCTACAGAAGAGAATGCTGTCCGTCAAGAGCATGGTGGTCGCCTCAATCAATTCTTGAAAAGTCATGACATTGACGAGTGGAGTTCAGCATTTCTTGATCCAAGCTGGACTCATGAAGTTATTCGACCAACTGAAGTTTGTGATTTTGTTGATGCAATATGATCTTTACTTACTATAACTGGTTTGTTAAAGATTCGCCAAATTGCTGACTTCTACATGTTGATGGCGCAGACTGCGCAAATCCGCCGTCAAATCGTTGAGGTGGTCCTGAAAGGAATGCCCATTCGACCACATTTTGCTCTATCACTTGAGAACGCCAAGGTAGTTCGGTTTCAATTGAGCTCTCGATTTTCTTCGACTGTACGTTTCTTATACTGTTTACTTGAAGAATTCGCTCGAGAACTGTTGTATGGCGGATTCGAACCTCCTGGTGTTGGAGACAACATCACATACTGAAGACGATGATAGTGTTACCAACGCTCATGCTACGTTCGATATCACCGATGAACTCACGGAGCTCCAGAAAGATCTGGCATTCCTTTCGTTCATTCAGTCTGATGAAACTAATAACGTTGAACAGTTCGTTGACGTAAGTTTATTAATTCAATTGTTTATTTACTTAGTGTACTAGTATATGATGTACACTCACCGCTGAGGACCTTGGTTTTTGCCACGTGTGATGTCAATGGGTCCGCGTGTGTGAGAGCTTACCTTTTACCCCGATCAAAAGTGCTTTGGGATGGGATTGGAGAGTAGTAATTTCCGGATGCCGTCTCCATACTCCGCCCGCCGTACGGCCGGTCAAACGTCTAACATTAGCCGAACGCGCTAGTTGTCTGCGTGCTCTCCGTTCTGGTTGTTTTCTACATCTGACTACCACTCGGAGCGTGCGCACTGCGCGGTTTTGGTATCGATGCGTTGCAGCACATTGAACATAGCGCGGACGGAGTGTAGAGACGGCACCCTGGTATCGCTACGCACCAGCCCCGTTCCTATGGACTCTCACGGGGAGTAGCCCGGTACTGCAACCGCGGACCCATTCGCTTTCCACATGGGAACTACCGTCCTTGAAGGTGAGTGTACAGTTTGTTTCTGAACGTTTCACGGGACACCCAAATTCCTTTGCGTTATACTTTTTGTCCCTATAAATGAATACATAAGTGGGGATTCTTCAGAAATCCGAAAATTCTGCGAAATACAGTTTTGGTATCAAGATTTTATATGTGTATTTAGACTCTTGGCTCATTCCATCCGTCAGGACCAACCGCATTTGCTGCTGAAGTGGAGAAAGCTGCCGCATTGCTGACCCAAGGAGATCATTTCCACTACGTTTTCACGGACAGGTACTTTCGATACTGTTTCTATCGGAGCTTGTATGGGACGTACTGCGCATTGTTGGGTAGGACTTCTGTAAAGTTATCGGCCATTTTGCCCTCCCTGATGTGTACTCAACGAGTAGTTCCTTCATTTCTTTTTCCATCTCACAATTTCTTGAAATTCGAAGAAAAAATGTTCGAATGATTACAATACTAGTAATTTGGTTGTATATGGTTTTCTTCAGAGATGGCACCTTGAAGAGTTACTCATGCTCGTATCCGACTAGTGTGCAGCCAGCGTACTCTGCGGTTATTCAGGTATACTTATCAGTTTGGTCGTACTGCAGCAGGACTTAGTCCAGTGATTAAGGTAAACGCTGCCGTCTTAAATTAGGCGGTAGGACTGAGTGTCACCAGACCTTGACTTGACCTGGCCCTGACTTGTCGACTATGAAGATAACTTCCCAGTCACTAGTTTCCAGTTCTGTGGTCCCCTTTAGCTCATTTTAGGATAATTCATAAACTTTTCAGGCTCAATTTGCTCGTCGTTGTGCTCAGTTTTGTGCGATCGTAACTACAGCTCCACTCGTCCATATTGGAATTCTCAATATGAGCACAATCCCTGAAGGTCAGTTTCGGCTTCAGTATACCTGTCAGCCGCAACGCCTCCGTCCACCATCTTTCTGCTTCCTGTCTACTTCTTTTCCTTCCTTCTTTCTCTCTTCTTTCTCTCTTCCTCTCCTGCGTCTAAATGCTCGGCCGGCCAGAAGATGCAATGAAAATGCCTCTGGACCCTCCCAACGAGGGAATACTAGTTGACAGATGCCCTGTAACCGTTAGCTTCGTGCTGTTTGTGTGGTTTACGTGGTGTGCATTAATGTAGGAGCGTTAAGGATTATTACGCTTATGGCGCTTCTGCTGGACGTGAATGGTACTTCAATCCAGCCATGCAGTTCAAGGATGACAGCGTCAGTGATGCTGACCTGATGCTGCTCAACAAGGCCTTTGATATGGTGCGTGTTTGCCCCATCTATTCGATTCAGATGTTCTTCCCAAAAGGCAGTGGTTGGTTCCTCTTGTAAAAACTTGAAGTGTGATCTATGCCTTCCGAATTGGTGTATTCGAGTAGGCTCTTAAAGCTTTTGGTGGCACACTTCGTATTCAAAAATGGTTGTTCTCCGGCACAAACTTCAGCCCATGCTGGACCGCGCTTGTGCGCGAAAAAAGGGCGTGGTCGGACGAGTTCCACTTGTTAGTGTCAGCTCTCTCTTCTTATCACCTCACTCTCGCCATTCGATATAGGGAAAGCCAATAGCGGAACAATTGCACCACCAGTAAGCCTCCAGTTATGAAGTTGGGCCTTTCCGTGGCTAGTGGGTGGAGTCATGGTGGAGCCAGCGCCTCTAATGTATTTTTGAGCTCCGAAAGTATCACATCCTCCATGCTAGCAGGCAGAATTACCTTGTCCAAAGAAGGCGGCTGGACATCGATTGAGCGCGAAGCGTACCTTCAAACGAGCAGGCCTAATAAGTCCCAAAAGTCAGTCACATTGTTGGCTTCTTTCTTCAGTACTAACCGCGGACTGCATTCTGGTTGCTTATTCCCTCTACACATCAATTCAGAAGGAACTTGGTCACCCTCTCTCTGTTTTTTAGGAACCAACTATACCTGTATTTACAACACCTCTCCTTTTTCTTCGCGTTTTCTTATTTTTTAGAGTTTTTTGAGGAAGTAGTTCAAAAAGTAGTTTATTATAGCCACGTTGAGACGGAAACTCAGGTTTGTGCTACCTCATCCCATTTGCTGCCCATATCGCGATAGTGATCAGAGGTAGAGGCATGAGAAGCCTCAGCTTCTTCATATTTCCCACTTTGTTTTTTTCTCAGTTGAAAACTTTTCTCATAAGTAATTCAATTTGCATCAGCAGTTTTTCTATGGCAGTTTGAAGCTAAAATGCTTTCATAATGAACATTGTTGAGCGCCTGCTAGGGCTTTCAAAGGTGAATGATGTATTATTTTACCCGCAAAAATGTTCATCTATGTCTGTGCAGTACCTGTTTCGTATAGATCGAAGATTTACTGGAGAGACCAGAATACCGAAATTTCACGTGGATTGGTAGTGGACTACAGAAACATTATGGGCACATTACAATAGCTAAGCAGGATGTGAACAACTCTATTCCACCCAGGAAGAGTTTGCAACTGTGAGTACTTTTTTTTGTTACACTTGTCCTACCGTACACCCCATATCCCGGCTATGGGGAGGGCGTTGCCGCGTGCTTCACTTGACTTCGATAGGACCTTGTCATTTTGGGGTGATTGTAATCATGTATTAGTGCAGCGCAAGACAGAATGATTGTTCTCTCAAATGGGAGTATTCCGTGAAGGGCACATCCTCCACTATGTTCAGAAGGATTACGTAGCTACGCCCTTCCCATCTTCTAGAAATGGTGTGTAAATTCTGTAAAAACAAAAAATTATCAGCAATTTGGCATTCTCTGAAGCGAGGGGGAACTCCTCCCACATTTTCCAGAATATTCCATTGCTCAGCGATCGAGGAAAACTGGCTAGAACTTCAGGATTCTTTTACTTCTTTGGAGTATCTTGCCATAAATTTCCGACGCCTCGACCCTCGTGATGGTCTTCGTAATCCTTAGATCCGAATGGGGCTCTGGGAGAGTACAGTGTCGCTCCTTTATTGCCACACTTTTCGAAAGTCAAGCTAAATTTTTACAGAAATTTTGTCCTTGTCAATGAATTTTGCCAAAAATTCGGATAGCTTGACATCTTTAGCAGGACTACTTTTCCGTATGGTAAAATGCCTGATTACAGACGTCGGGGGATCGCAGAGCAGTTATACCGTTTGTTGCGCGTCAGCCAGGCATCTTCGCGCCAAACTGCTCCCATAATCGTGGTCTAGAAACTACCTCTGGGGATCCTTTCTCAGCGAATCTAGTGATTAGATTGTTTTGAAGGCGGTTCCCTTTGCGTGGAAACTAAGCGTTCATTTGCTGTAGGTAAATTTTGGCTAAAAGTTAGCCTGCTTTTCGGAAAGTGGGGCGTAAATAGCGTCAAGTTCGTTGTGAGTTCTGTGCAACTATTATCATACAGGGGGGGGGGGGCAAAAAAGTCACTTCGACCGAGTCACATATCAGCAAAGTTTTCGCTGCCCAGACAGAGGACGTGGATACGAGTACCAGGGCGGAAGATACCCAAGATGTTCCTCTATAAGCAGGAGCTGGCCCCATCACCTTCATGTACACCAAAATATGAAGTCATCTCCAGTCGCAGCCTGACTGGAGAAGACCTTTGGAATTCATGTCACCTCCAAACAGCTACCTGAGACCAGTACTCTCGATCTGGATGACCTCCAACATCGAGCAGCTCCGACAACGTCGCCACGGTCTAGGACATCATCTTCACCACAGTCGCCAAGGCGCGGGTTGATGGTATGGACCGGACGTACCTGGAATGGAAAGACCAATATTTTCTTCGTGGACCCCGGACTGAAGGTGAGCGCTGGCGGTTACATTGAGCAACTCGTGAAGAATATCCTCCTCACATGTCGTCGCCCGTACCTTCTTGGAAACTTTGTACTGCTACAGCATTGGGTGCCACCACATGGAATCGAAGGGCGTTGGAGAAACTCTCGCCTACTTGGAATGGAAGGGAGTACCTAAAGAAGATGGAATATCCAAGTAGGTCACCTGACCTGAATCCCCTCAATTACCCGGTTTGGGCGGAGTTCAATAGGGTGGTCTACGGTGGCGGAGAAATCGACTATCTCACTGTCTTGGGCCACCACAATTCCGGGCGCGCCTCTGCGGGGTCCGGCGCGGGCCGAGTAGTTTTTTATAAGTACTTGCATAATTTTCGTGCCCGCAGAATTCCTCTCGTAGGGAGATCGCTGTGACTCCAGAAGCGGGCGTGCGTGTGAAGTTGGGTCCGGGTGGCAGTGGAGTAAATATAGAGTTATGAAGTGCGAGTTCGTAAAGAGGTGGTAAAAAAAGGTTGGGACAACCCGATACCAAGAAGTCAAGAATAAGTGGAAACAACGTGCAGTGAGTATAAAAATACGCTTCGCCTTGCCCGGCAAAACACAAAGATATGAATGGAAAAGGTTACTATTACCTAATAACTCCAGAAAAATTGATTGACTGTGGCCCCCGCCCCTGTATATCGGAATATTAACCTTCATTGACAGATGACCCCGTTTGAAGAATTAAATTCCAATCATGTCCTGGGTATAAACGTTAGAGCCCACTGGACCCAGATGTCTGAACATGTAACACGGGAACGAGTTGACTGAAATATAATACTAAAATCGAGTACCAAAAGGATGGCTCTTCTTACCGTCCTCTTAACTATTTTTAAGTTTTAGCAGTTCATGTTCGTCTATGCGCCGGCCAAGTGTCAAGAGACCCGCCCGCGTGCCGAGCTTTGAAGAAATGCAGAATGTCATCTTTTTGATTTTTTTTTCATTCTTCAGTGAAACATGCCTCTTGCATCATCCCCATGGGATACGGCCCTCTCCCCATCCCTTATCCTACCCGCCGTCTCCCTAAATTCCAGCAACCATGTACAGGTTTTCTTTCCAGTTTTTTCCTCGGAAAACGGCCGCCGAAAATGGGGAGGGGGGGGGTGTGAGGTAGGGTAGGGTATATAGCCCATGTGGAAAGGGGAGTAACCAAATACGACCTTCTTCGCTGGGAATGCCTAACGTACGACGAGCTCTGATGTTGGAGTCGGGGGTAGGTGAGGGTGCCGCCCACTGATCTATTAAATATAATAGAACGTTGAAATCACGGGCTGAGTAAAGAGGTGGAGGTGGAGGAGCTATGCAAAGCGGACACTAGTAACGGCTAGTTGTCATTACACCACTTCCGCGCTACCGTATCCCACGCCTAGTAATAATCATTTTCTAGTGTCCCCATCGACAATCAGGTGCTAACGTATGGCCGCGTTCATACATGATGCAGAAATGCAGAACCACGGAATGTGCAGAACTGCGGAATTTGCAGACCTGCGGAATTGGGAGAACCGCGGAACTTGCAGAAAAAGAAAATATGTCTATCGATTTCAAAAACCGTGGAATATGCAGAAGTGCGGAATTTGCAGAAATGCCGATGGACCGATCGATCCCTATCGCTTCTTTGTCCGTAATTTCTGCATTTCTGCAAATTCCGCGGAATTTGCAGAAAT